GATTTAGCACTTGAGATATATTTTGCTTTTCTTTAATTCTGATTATGAGTTCAACTTTAGAAAATTTTAGTTCATGCGTTTCTTAGATGTTTCTCTCCTAACGGAGCATAGAAGAATCATACTCTTGGGGCCAGTGAACTGGAAAACGACCGTGCCAATAAGATCTAGCAGAATTCCTTGTTCTTCGGGAAGAAAGAGTCGACAGCTGAAGCCATGCTACTTTCAATAAGTATATACAATTTTCATTCAACTACCTTACAATTAATGAATGTGCCCCTGAGGTAATCACGCACAGGAGGTGGGATCCGAACAAATTTCATACATTAATATTGTTATTCGCTTTAACTTGTCATTTTCAAAAAAATATTTTTTAAATAATTAACATAAAATGATGTTCCTCTTGTCTACAGGAACTGTGAAAGGTAAGTCTTTTGGAATAGTTGTTGAATGATCTGAGAATAGTTTTGGCTTGCACTTCAAAATGGAGCATGGTTGTAACAACTGGCAGTAATGTGTAATTACGCTTTTGCTTTTGGGCAAATCTATTGTCTCGTGTAATAACAAACACACATTTATGAGACTATTCTGTAGACTTGAGACCACTGGATTGTGCAGATTTTTAAATGCTCTATACGTAATTTATGTCCTTCAAAATGTATTTCAAGGTTGTTTGTTTTGTATGTGTGATTTTCACAAATGTAAGACTCATGTTTATCATGATAACATCAATGTGAATTTGTCTTTTTAATCTTTGGTAATATCTTTTTATTTATTAGGTTATAAGAGAAAACTAGCTGCAGCACCATGTGGAAAATGTCATGTGAGGTCTTATGTTAGTTATTTTAAAAGGATATTCATCACTTCAGATATTTTTGCAGTATTAAAATTAGTGATTGAGTGTTGTATGTGAACAAGCAAGATTGAATATAAATTTATACTCGTGAGAGAAATGAGTTGATACAATCTCATTAGCTTCAAATAAACCTGTGTTTTTTTATGTAAGAGTTGCATGGGAAATGGCAAACTCCACCGTAGAGCAAATTTTTTTCCTCCATGCTTCCACCAACGTAGATAGTGTGACATTGATTTCTGAAAGGCACTTCATTGTACTGGTAACATTCACTTTGAATCACATGTTTTTGGTCTTGGGTGGGAATTAACGTAACATACCATATTCAAAGGAAAATTAGGATCAAAATTCAGTAACCCAACCGCAATGCAGCTTCTCCCAGACAACCGCGAGACATGAAGATCTGTGTTTCTTACCTGTAATGCGTTACACATAACTGCATAGTATTATGAATTCTTGCATATGTCCCACGTTGTATCAAAATGACTAAAATATCTGAAGGTCTTTTTTGGCACCATTCATTTTTGTTCAATGAATATTGTATTCTAAATTTTTAAATAAAACGATTGAGTATTTTAAACTGTACTGACTGGAAACAGTGTTTCAAACATAGGTGACTGAAAACAAAACTTAAAAGTGGTCAATACAAGTTTGCAAAAATTAATGAATATCTTTCAGATGAGAATAATGAATGAACTTGTATATTGGTATAATGCAAAAATTGAGGATCCGTGGAAATGCATTCAAAAGAAAAAAATTTACGGTCTGGCATTATTTTAATGACAACTGTTCAAATATAATTTTTCATTTAATTTTTTGTCAGCTTCCAGAAAAATAAAATATTCGAAATGAGCGAATATATTATGTTAATTTCAAAATTGAATTTGAAGTACATTATTGTCATTTCGGAACTTGTACTTTAATTATATAAGAAACATTACAAATTTTTTTTTCAATCTTTTGTGAAAATAATTTGACAGCAAGATAGGTAACGGATGCCTACACATTTTAGCAAAATACAGCTGAATCTTCATTGTGTTTAATAATAATGATTTACCACCATAAAACAAAAACAAAATCAATACTTCTTGGTTATCTGCTTCAATTGCTTCATTTACTTTCCTATGGTTGTGCAAATATATGGTGGATTTTTAAGCACTAATGATGCCCTAAAGCATTCAGTTTCCAATACATATGAATGAAAAAAATGAGTTAATCCAGTTAAATTAATAATTTGATTCAATAGTTTGTTACATTTAATGCAAACTACAATGTCAATGTTTCATATCTGCTTTCATGCAAACAACCACAATATTTACATCCACAGAATCATTTACAAAATGGCCGAAATTAATATGAGATCCAAAATATGAATGTTGCATGAATCATTCTTCAATAAATAGAAAGTGAAAAATAACAATTTACGAGTATTACTGATAATTGCTTTTTTAAAGAAGTAACATAAACAGATAATGGCTACATTTAATATATTCATATTAACAGTCTTGTAAAAAATCTTATTGTGTAATTTCTGAATTATCATATTTCTGCATATTAAAGTGTTTCTTCTATTTGCTGTCTGCAAAATTCACTTTCGTTTTTGAAACCAAAGTTGAAAACTTTCTTTTATGACTGAATGTAGGAACTTGTCACTTTTCGTTCTGTTGTTTCTTGTTTGAAAATAAATTATAATTTGATCTTTAGCAAATTTGAAATTGCTTTTAGTTGGCTTTAATTAATTGTCTTCAAATTATGCATGTGAAACAGCATTGATCACATTTATGTATCAAATAATTTTTTGTATCACTAGTCAAGCATAGAGATACACATTACAATTTAATACAATTTGTAAGAAATGCATTTTAATATTAATTTTCAGTATATGCAGATAATTATCTGCATAAGGCATGATTGTGTATTTCAGCATGTAGTTCAGGTTTTTTCTTTTAATAAATGAAAGAAGAGCTAAATTTGCAGACCTTTTAATATTTTTCTGTTGTCTATTGATACAAGTCTATCAGTGATTATTTATTTTCCTTGTATTTATACATCACTTTTTATTCATGAAATGAAAAAAAAAAAAATCATAGAATTGAATTAGCAACATATACCTTGTATACCACCCCACTTTTTTGAATTGAAAATGAATTCAGAATTGATCTCATGTTGCAGAAATATTTGTGAAGAAAAAATTAATTTTCCGGAATTAATTTTTTACTGTTGGTAATATTAATATATCAAATACAGAAACATGTAACAAATGAAATTGGCTATTTTAAATATACATTTACTGTATTTTATTCTCAAAATTTGTGACTTTTATCTTTTAGTGTGGACCCACAAGAGCAGCAAAGAGCTTGAGGCAGTATTTGCAAACGTGGCAGAACATGTGAAAGCAATCTTCTGACTTGCCTTCTGTCATTATCCTTGACAATCTTCACCATGCAGCCTCACTTGGAGAAGTATTTAATGTTTTCTAAATGCCAAGTATGCCAAGTGCCCTTACATTATTGGAACTATTGAATCAAGCAACTTGTTCTACAACCAACCTTCAACTTCACCATAACTTTATATTAAATACATTTAGGAATTAACTTGATTTGTAATTGTATTGCTTATCCTTACTTCATATTTTTATTCATCTGTCTATTTAAACTTATTTCAGGTGGATCTTTGTGCTAATCATATGGAACCTGAAAGGATTCCTGGGTCGTTATTACGAAGGCGACTAATGAGACTGAAGTACAAGAGGAATACGCAACAATGACTTAATTAGAATTTTTGATTGGATACCAAAAGTGTGGCAACACTTAAATAAATTTTAGAAACTCACCAGCTCCTCAGATGTCACCATTGGTAAGCAGAAACTTGTATGATTTTCCACCATTTTCTTAAATCTAAATTATTATTTTAGTACAAAGAACCCTTAGAAATTATTTCAGCTCAAAGATGAAATTACTTCAAATTAACATTGTATATATTTCATTTTAAACAACTAAGTAGTATGGCATTATCAGAGCTGACTCAATGTCTTCTATAATCACCCTGTTGCTTCCCGAATCATTGTTAAAAATATATGTTTTACTTGTGTGAAGTATTGCAATTACAACAAATGAAATGTAACAGAAGAAATTCATAGTACAACTGTTTTCTTGTTGACCACACACACCACACACACACACTACTCTGCTCTATTATTCAAATCTTGAAATCCCATATTTGAAGTTATCATGTTTATGATATTGAAAAAGAAATTTTGGATGTGAATAATAGAAATAATGAATAATTCATTTGGAACAAATGTTGTTTAGTTCTTGAGAACAAATATTTGTAAAAATGTGTCTACTTTTGTAAAAGGTATGTTATTCACCTAATGACCATTTTGACTTTCAGGCCCTCGTTTGTTCCTGTCTTGTCCCAGTGATCCTGCAGGGTCGCAGGTTTGGTTTACAGACCTGTGGAATTACTCAGTTGTTCCTTATCTCATGGAAGCTGTGCGTGAAGGGCTGCAGCTTTATGGGCGACGAGCTCCGTGGGAAGACCCATGTGCTTTTATCTCTCAGACCTACCCATGGACAGGGGACATTGTCCAGGGTGGCCCTGAAGCTTTGCTTAGGTTAGTTGTTAAAATAAAAATTAATGTAATAGAAGAGGATTATTGTTAAGATATGAATATTAAATTTCCCTGTTGTATGTTTGTGTTTTATTTATTTTTTTTTACTTTTAGACTACGCCCAGAAGATGTGGGATATGATATTCAGCAAACTAGTGGAATAGGAGGAAGTAGCATAAAGTCCATGAGTTCTGCTCAGAGTGACTCAGAGGGAGATCCTTTGGTATGTAGCGTGCTCTCTCTGTTTTGTTATGTATTTTGATACTTATTTGTGGTAGATTTCTTAATTTGATTGGATGAAACAGTGCTAAAATTGAGTTGCTTAAAATTAATTTAAAAAGGGCTGGGATACATTAGGTTGAAATCCAATAAAATAGAAATGTCAATATCAACTAAGTACTGTAATTTTCAAATAGTTTCTTGTGAAACAGTTGTGGGTCTTTGCATATTGTATTATAAATATAGCTTGGGATTGTAGATTTTTTCTATGATGCTCTTCTTGGTTTTTATTCTTGTTTTTGCATTTGTTTTCTAGTTGAATATGTTAATGCGTTTGCAAGAGGCAGCTAGTTACTCAAGTCCACACAGCAATGATTCTGATTCAATTAGTTTGGACTCTCATGCAAGCAGCATTCACACTGACGATAAAGGAAATACAAGAGTTGAGTCAACTCTCTAGGTAACCAAAACTAGTCATAGATGTAGGTTACATATAAGTAGAGTAATGTTTTATATAAGGAGGGCAACTTTGGAAGAACACACAATTCATTCTGCTATGTTTGATTTTCTTATATGATTTTCTGTAAATTAGTTTTTTTCTCTTGCCAGTAGCCATTCATTTATGAAGCTAAATGTTAAAGTACTTAATGCATAACTAACCCAGCGGTAAATTCAAAATTCTTTTTTTATATTACCTTCTTGAGTCTTGAATGTTAATCAACCAGTATCGTGCATTTCTGAATTAATTATATTTTAAATTTTGTCCTGTCTGAAACATTGGAATTCATTTGCGCAAAGAAATCAGAGTTCTGTGGTCTTCCAATTATACATTTAACAAATAAAGTATTAATCTCATAATCATTTGACAATACTTCTATTAGAGTGTGCATTGCAGATCAATGTATTTCAAGTCACTGCACAAGCTTCAAGTATGATTGGCTGTGTGTGATTCAGGTTTGAATATTTCTGCATATTGATATGTGCAATGGTACTCTAAACCAAATACTATTCTTGATTACTAATACCTTAAAATGAATGAGTAAAAATGTTATAAAATCAAAAGGTAATATAATAACATTTATTTCCATGACACAAATTAGCATGGAAACAATATGCTCAATACATTTAAATGGTAAAACTGTTTACTAGATAATCCCTGTGCAATTGAAGTGCTTATGGTTTTCACACTTCCTTTATGGTGAGGATGAGAAGACTGATTGAAAAGGGTAGTCATGGTGTACAAAATGAAAATCCTTGAAAATAAGTGGGTATTTGACATTTGTCAAAGTTGCGGAGAGACTTTTAAGTGTGCCTAGTTGTGACGACTGCAGAGAGTGTGAGTTATTTTATATATTGTATAGAGTGTTGATGCATACATATGAAGTCCTTCTTGCTATGATTTTCCAACTGCATTTTAGGTGCAGTGTGGATAAATTTTTATCTGTCATGTAATTTTGTAGTCTTATTGCTTTTGTTTAATTTAAAGCAGCGTGGCCTTGAAATAAGACTATGATCTTGTTTTAAAAACTGTTGCAGGACTTGACAAATCGAAAATTTTATGACAAGCCCTGATAACAGAAAATGTGAATAACATATTAACTCAAAGTTTTGGTGATTATATATTTAAGAATCTTAAAATTTAAATAAAAACGTGTACAGCATGAATGGCACATTGTATATATGCATCACCATTAAATTGTAGACATTTAAATTTGAAACACAATGAGGCTCTTTCTCCTGACCATTAAAATAAACATAATATTCTTATGTCATATGTCTTCCTATTTTAAATATAAATACCTTAAAGAACCAGCAATTATATGTATGTACTTTTTTTCTGTATAGTGCATTTTAAGATCAATGAGGCTTGCAGTGGCTGAATGTGACTCATTCATTTGTACATATGTATTTTTTCATGCTCTGTTATGGAGTACTTAATGTAACTTATGTTCTTGTTTTATAGTTTTATACTTTATTATTGGCACTTATGTGCATCTGGTCATACCTTTTAATACTCTTGTAAATACCATCATTTGATAAATGTTGCATGTTGCATTAGCATAGATAAGAAATTTTCATGTTGTCTGTATCAACACTTATGAATCATCATAAAAGAATCTTTGATACCATGTAACATACAGTTAGCTTCAAGATTTTTAAAAATGTTTATATATTTGTAAAGTTGGCCTTCTATCAGTTATTTGATAATGCATACATGTTGTATTAATTAAGACTCTATACACAAATACAGCGATATGAACAGATTATCTTGGACTTTAATTGCACAATTCCTGTCATATTGTATGAACCTCTAATCTCCATTTTCCTGTGCTTTTCTTTCTTTCCATATTTTTTAAAATATGAACTGGTTGGGGGGGGGGATACCTGGAGCACTGCTGGGGTTCTGGGTTCACCATTATTGCATGATATTTTGTTATTTGTGGTTAAATTGTTTCGTTGGTTAATATCTTACCTCCATGAGTTTCTGGTGATATCTAAGACCTTGTTTGATTAATCAATTGCAAGTAATGATGTAATTGAAAATATCAAACTTGTCACTAGTGGTGTACTATTAGTTAGAAATTGTAATTCCTTGGGAAAGAACAAAAGAAAATTATCAGAAAATATCATGTAAAGAGAGGGTTTATCATCATTATTCATGATGGAAAATATTTGTTGCATTTGTAAACGTAAATGATTTTAATATTTTGTGTTCAAAAAAAGTAAAATTTGTCTTCATACTAACCAGCCTTCACAATGCTTCATTAAATCTTGAGACACAACATTGATACTATTTTATGGTTTTAAAGTTTCTTTATATTAATAAGTGAAGAGAACGCTTTTTACTCGTTTTTAAGCATATTGGATGGACGGGGATGTGAGAGTTTTGGGAAGGAAGGTGAGGAAGGTCGCAGAATGGTGACTGAAACGTCGGCACCTTCACCATGGACACGGTATCTTTCTGTCAGCCAAGTAAATACTGACTCCGGCCGTGGAAGCCTACGCTCTCACGGGGATGTGAGAGATTTGGCCCAGTTAAAGACTGCAGAAATCTAAAATTTATATATGTAATAATACAAGTATATTTTATTAATTTTTTTTCTCTTAACAAAGCATTTCAAAAAAATCAAAGGGTTCTCGGGACAGTATATTTCCGAAAGACTCTGCTCTGTTGGCGGTTGAGGTCACAAGACCAGTTTCCATTGTATTTCTCACCCATGTGGGAGTGGTGACAAGTCCAGTGATTCTCCTCTTATCATAGGTTTTCAAATTTCATGGGTATTGCAAGGAATTATGGCAAACAACACATAATGACATATTTGTACACACTGGCAGATGACCACAATATTATTAAAAATTTAATGAATTGTGATTGAATTTTGACCACTCGGAATTTCGACCATATATTTATTTCAGTTTAAAAATAAAGTATACATTTTTATAGCATTAACTGGTTTATTAAGTATTAAAGTTTAATGCCAGAATTGTTGTGGTATTTTGGTTCAATTGTATATTGGTTTTGGTCAATTGTATAGTGGGAGGGATAAGTTTCTTTAAATCACTGTTCAAAACAATTTAACCATGCTTTAAAACATGTTTGACACATGCTTTAAGGATCTTTCTTCTTTGTTTCTTTTCCCTTGCAAATGGATTTTTTAAATTAATATTAGTTCCTTTCAAGAATATTGTGTATTGTGCACTGTTTCATCAGATTCTTTTCAGTGAGCAGGAAAAAAGAAAAATTCAATATTGTTGGCAGTCTCAAGGAGGATCACATTTCACACAGTTGTCACCACAAAATAAAAAAATTTAAAAAAATAAAAAAAAATAAAAACAACATCAGTTTGATTTTTAAATTCAAAAAACTTTTTGCAGCCTTGGAAAATTGTGGACACTGTCAAGAGTGGGCTAATGCATAAGCAGACTAAGTTCATGTTAACATTTTAAATTAACCAGTGAAAATAATGTTTAAAGATTTTTTTAATGAAACAAAAAATTAAAAAATATATATACTTTAGATTTTACAATTTCAAAAATAATTTTGGTAAATTGCCATAAGTAAATGAAGACAATTATTTTAATGTTCTTCTATATGTATAATACATTGTATTTCTTATTTTTTTATTCAATTTTTAAATTGCAAAGTTTATAAATTAATTTTCATATTTATTTTGATTACATTTATGACTAGTATTTCAGTTCTATGTGATGACTCAACAATTTGGAAATGCTTTGGACTCTTTAAGCTATACATAGTACATAGCACTATCACTTAAATAAAGCAAATATTTGAATTTTTGGTAATTTGACATTTATTTCAATTTTAAGTCTACTGATTAAAATTATATAAACATCAATGTAAAATACTCTTTTAACATTTTGTTTGTTTTGTTTGTTTGTTATTTTCTTCTCTCTGTGTATGTCAAAATGGCAGTCATTATGAGTACTAGTCTCACATTTATGCTATATCTTTTGAACTAATACATCTAGAAGGCTTTAGTGATCACTTAATACTAAAGAAAAGTTCATTCTTTAATGTTGCCTGTGCAGCAAAACAATCTTCTATGACTAATTACATGACGAAAGTATTTTTATTTACTTGTTACCATATTGGTGACTGGTTTCCTAGGATTAACTTCGCTGCTGCTTTCTGTATATGACATTTTGGAACACATTTGTCCCATTATCTCTGTAACTACTCAAGTGATAATTTGCAATTTGTTGTTGGATATCAATGAAGTAATAATTAATTTATGGAAGCAAAATGAGTTATAGCCTACAGTAAGTTTCATACTTCATGATTTCTGTATAAAAGTACAGAAAAAATTGCACTTTTGCAATTTTCAAAAAAACTGGGATTTCAACAAACATGAGTCATCTCCTTAGCATCCTTTACACTATCACAACAAAATTTAACCAAGAAATTTGGACCCATGTTTCCAAAAAATTTGAAAATGTTTCAGGGGCTTCATGTAAAGTAACTTTCAAAATTAAAATATGGCATTCGAATTCAAGAGGCTACGGCATCAGCCAGATAGATTGGGGAATATCGATTTTGGAGAAAATAGGCTGAATGGTTTAGGCGCTAGCGTTGACCACAGACAGACGTTGTGACGTTGTGCTGTCAATCAATTTTTCGGAATCAACGACCTACAAAATATGGATTCTGATTGTACAACGTGCTAGAATAAATAATTTACTGTACATTGAGAGAAGATTTATCCACATTCTCGTTACCAGGGCCCGGCGATAACAGGTTTTGCATGGAAAATTCCTCGTTTTCCCCTCCGGCATTACAATACTCTCTCACTACTGCTTTAATATAATAGAGAAAGTAAAATCGAAAAAATTTTGAAAACTTCCCAGGCGTCTCATGTAAAGAACCCCCAAAACTAAAAAAAACTGAAAGTTTTCAAATTCGTTTGGTCTTGACTCGTTCAGGGAATATTTATTTTGGACACAAGGGCAGACGTTTCGGAGAGTAAACAAACAATAGGTATCAGAGAACCCCGTCACTCCGCTGCGAGCAGTCACTCCAAGCAGATCTCGGTGTAACGACCAGTAGTACTTTGTGATTAAGAGTGGTTGATAAATTAAACACTACGTAGTGCGGAACGCATGCAATCTAAAGGGCATTTTGTAAGTGAATAATTCTTCAAGAACACTTGATAGTACTGGCCTGTGCCAGTGCATCGTGAATGCCCTAACGTAGGATTATCAAACAAAGGGCCAAATCAATGCCATCTTTCTGGAAGGCTTTGGGTAAATGGACGCTTTTCATTTGGCCAATTGGAAGGCAACGACCGTGAAGTACCAGCTCTAAACGCACCAGTTCATTTACTAACATCACAAACAACAAGCTTCATCATTCAGCACTGGCAGTGACCTCCATGCAGGTAATAAGAATTTTCAACCAACCTAGGACAGTTTGAATGTGCCAGTCCAAGACTCAATCTTACCTTCATGTGATCTCAGCGCAAGTGTCCCAAGTAGCAAACGAGAAAATAGTGATCCAAATCTAGCCCTAGTTTTCGTTGTCACTCATTAAACAAGTAGCTCATGTAAATGTTTAAGTTTGCTCCGGATTTTTTGAAAGTATCTTCATTTTAAAAAAAACTGCATCAAAAAACTATGCATCTAAATCGGAAAAAAAGTTCGGTAATAGTAGAGCAGATTATTAAAGAAAATTCACCGATTTTTGATATGAACCTATTTATTGAAAATATTTCTGAGAGTTGAAAAATTACATGAAATCTGCAGGTTAGTTGTGCCGACCACGCAGATATTGTCGTGATTACGAAAAGCTACAGCCTAATTGCAACAAGTCTTGCATCCTAGAGCTTTTGGTGCGTAAGTAACAAAAATATCTTAGTCTGTCCAATCTTTTTACTTGTTAAGCTGGCTGATACTAGAGCTACTGTTGCGTGAATTACGAGCACAAAAACGAATTTCGAGGAATATGTTCTATCGCACTTGTACATAGGTGGTAAAAAAACGGGGTAAAGTAAAGAACGTGAGACCCAGGCATGCATAGCATTTTAGCTGACCTCGGGAGCCGAGCATGAGCAACTTGAGTGCAGACCCGGACCGCGTGGATGGGTGGAGATAAGATTCGGGAGCGTAGGCTTCCGCGGCCGGAGTCAGTATTTACTTGGCTGTCCGGGTGACGCCGCGTCCATAGCAAATGTGCCGACGTTTCGGTCGCCATTCTGCGACCTTCCTCAGGGCGTAATGCCCTTGCTCAGGCATTACGCCCTGAGGGCCTCAAGGCATTACGCCCTGAGAAAGGTCGCAGAATGGCGACCGAAACGTCGACACCTTCGCCATGGACGCGACGTCTCCCGGACAGTCTAGTAAATAGGGATAATATTCATTCTAGGAGTGGGGACCACCAGTGAAAATGCGCAATTCGAAGCGCAGCGCGTAAATTGAAGGAGCAATTAGAGAATGCGACGGACAATTACATATTACTATCATTACCTTTTATTTTGGAAATGTTTGTTGTCGATGCATGACAATATGAACCTAAAACGAATTAGGCATACATATTTGATTTGGATGCCAGTATTGCTTGTAGGGCTGATAATGTAAATTGCTTTGCTACGATGTCATAAAAAAATAGCGTGCTGCTAAATACAAAATTATTGAAACTTTTTTGTTTGATGACAGTAATAAATAATTTTTTCATTAACCGTGTTTAATTGATTAAACGTTTCTAGCTAAATCAAAGGTAAAAAAATCTTAAGTCTTCAAAAATCATAATTAATTTACGTTCTAATTTCCGACAAGAGTAAATTATATATTTCTGATTTCAAATCAACGATCTCTATTTATTCATAATTGATTAAGACATTGTATAAAAAAGACTAAGCCCTTGGCGTTCTATTTAATAAGACTCATTCTAATGTCATGATTGCCCGTAAAATATCGTAAGAGGTTTGCTCGATATCTCTTATTCAGCTTCATAATGAGGGAAAACCGTCACAAATAGATGTGCTACCAACCATTCCCCTTCTTGGAATTGCCTATATTTCTTTTTTTAACAATCTCGAAGTGAGAGAAACTCTCAATTTCCTCCGTTCTCCTTCATTTGGAGATAATTCTTAGTGAAAAAATCAATGATTAAATTGTTCATTTTTGTTAGGTAAAATTGCATAATACATTTTAGAAGAGACCACTGCTTTAAAATATTATTTATGATTTAAAATGAGCATGAAGTAAAAATAATGTTGATACATAGCAGTGCACTGAAGTACATAAACAGTGAAATATGGCCATTTTAGCCATATAGCCGGTCGCAAGCAAGGCACTGCAGTGACATTTTTTGATAACCTGCGCGATCTCTTCCGGTGCTGTGGTCATCAGTCTCGTTAGTATAGTGAAAATAATTTTGACACCGGGGGTGGCGGTGATTCCTTCACCGTCGAGTAGTAAGTACGGGCGCCGATACATATGTCGGCTTGCGGGCCATTTCCCCTCCTGAAATCTCCTCCCAGCGAAGCACTGCCCCAGACGAGAGAACTTCTAAGCGCCCGCCTGGTTTTCCGACGTGAGGTAGTGTACTGCGTGTAAGAGTGTGTGTAAGGAGACACGATAAGACAAGGAAGATGACGGGAAGATCGCGTGCGTTCCGTGGCCCATTCTTTAGATTACTGCTCCGGCATTCGCCTGCTATTGATCGGAGAAACCACGGAAAAATACCGATCAGAGTAGGCAGCCACTTGAATAGTCTTACAGACAGAAGCTGAATTCGCCCTAGCCATGTATCTAGCTTTGAAAACCCGCCATCGACGGGTCTCGAACTTACGACCTCTGGTGAGAGTCGCTGCAGAGTCAGCGCAATGCTGGCTCAGACATGAACTCCCGGTAGTAGTGTGTTCGGTTGGTGTGGTTCATGCTAATATTTCTACCACGCAGCGCCACGCCGGCGTGTGCCCCCTGCGGCGCGCTCGTAGTATTGAGGTTACTGACACTACGATAATTTCGTTGAAAGCGTTGAAGATTTTGTCGAACCTTTGAGGCAGGTCGCGGCGCGTTGCTGGTACATCGAAAATGGACGCATAGTACGACATATCTGAGTACTACGACATATACTTCATATTTGAGAATGCCAGTGCTGTAGTTACGGATTGAGCTGAGAGGTAGGCAGACTGCACGGCACTACACCAATCACATATTTCTGCACCTTAACGCTCGAAAGCGCGCATGGGAGAGATCATGACGCTGACCATGAAGAAACTTGAGAGCGTAGGCTTCCGCGGCCGGAGTCAGTATTTACTAGGCTGTCCGGCTGTTCTGCGACCTTGGGCATTACGCCCTGAGGAAGGTCGCAGAATGGCGACCGAAACGTCGGCACCTTCGCCATGGACGCGGCGTCACCCGGACAGCCTAGTAAATAATGAAGAAACTTGCGAAAACGACGCTTCAACGCGCCGTGCTCGAGGTTGTGCAATTGTGCTGTCGCGAATTTGAATTGCGACAGGAATTTTGCGACCCATGCCTTTGCATGTTGCTACATGCACGGGGACTATTTCAAACAGTATTCCAATGTTCCTGTAAAATGTTTGTTTATGTGTATGATATAAATAGTGCCGCAGGTTAAACGTATTCCGTGTTGGTGGTACCTTGTTTGTATGGCCGTACTGTTACTTTTCCATATCCGCTGGCCAGTGGCGGTGCTCCTGACCGGATTCCATTTATATGACTATACGGAAGGTAACACTTCTGCCAGGGTTTGCGACCGGCCATATACTAGACGGCAGAGAAAGAAAAGATAACATTTTCTCAGCAGTATAGTTCTGAGGAAGGCCACAGCAAGATGGCCGAAACGTCAGTACAATTGACCGAGACGCGGCTCATCCCGAATATCCAAGAATGCATTGACTCCGGCCGCGGAAGCCTACTAACCCTTGTCGAACCAATAACATTTTCTCTATGCACACACCACAACAAAGAATGCTTCGAAGTATTCAAACGCAGGAAGGCGTAATGGATGATTGGTGTATGGGGTATAAACTCAGATACTCCGGATGGGGAAGAATACTGCCCCAGAACAACAAATAAAATAATTTCGTATAACGCTGCAATGATTTAAATATTTTAACAAAAAATCTTCACGAATACTGGAATAATTTGAAATACAATACATTTTTTACACGTCAAGAATGTTAAACTAGTGCTGCTACAGTATGGCATAGACTGTCCCGTATTAGTTTTCTATTTCCTTTGGTCTCGGTTGGCTATTCCGACTTGTCACATACTCTGGCCAGCTGCCATTAACCTCCACCAATAATACATTTTTCCATTTTCTTAATTTTTCGGTTCCTTAATAATAGAACGGAAATATTATTTTATGAATATTAACGAACAGTAAAACTGAGACCTAAATTGCAAATTTCTTTGAAAAATTTGCAGCCATTTTTAAGAAAATGGCGTTTAGGCGCTACTATTAATTAGAAATTTGAAGCTCGTTTCACAGAAAATGTTTTAGTTTTCGAAAAACTTCATTAGAAGACATTTGAAGCACTTTAACTCACAAAACAATTGTGTTTACAAATTTCTGGGAATGTGCATAACGGCAAGAGAGATCTTTAAAAAATAATTTTTTGTGCTTTTTGGAAGAAAAAAATGAAAACTACGTTAAAGAGTGGAATTAGTACTATCCGTTCAAAAAGTTTGAAGAAAACATTTGAATCGGGAAACATTTGTTTCGAGAAAATGGCGTTTGATCGTGTCTGAAAACATGAAATTTTGAGCTAGTTTCGCAAAAAACGGTTGATTTTTCGAGAAACTTTATATGGCATCACTTAAAGCACATGCACTCATAAATGCAATTGTGTGAACAAATTCCCACTAATATAGATATTAACGATATGGGAGACGAATCAAAAAATTACATTTTGTAATTAAAAAAATAATAGAGCAATGTGGCGTATATGTCATCTTATAGAGTAGATTTAGCACTATCCCTACTAAAAGTTTAAAGAAAACAAATTGAAGCAGTCTTTGAGGATATCTTGTTTTTGTATTTTTTTAAAGTTGCACATATTGCACGCAATATTACGCGAAAACTATTAAGATCGTCAAAAAATGAACATGACCTTAATAAAAAGACGCACTATGGAGAACAACTTTTATTTGAAGGAAAATTATCTATCTTTAATTTTGTAATTGTAAAATGACACAAAAAAATCATTCTTTTGAAGTTTTCCAAAATTCAGAGTTAACCGTGAAAATTGGACCTATGCCTTTTATAAGTGTATGTTACTCTATTCTTACTAGAAATTAAAAAAAAAAAAATTGGAGCCGATTCTGAGAAAATTTTGTAAATGTCCGGAGGCCTGTAAAGTATGTAATGTCAGGAGGCCTGTAAATGTAAAGAACCCCCAAATATTGA